GTGGTTTGTAAGTACCCCTTGTGGGCAACCGTTCACTTGCATACTTAGTATGGCAGACCATAAGGCAGCAGCCCTATTCTTGTTTGAGGAGTTGGTACAGAAGGAGTTTCAATCTGCAAATATAACTTCAAAACTTAAGGAGACCATCTCAGTCCTTATTTATGCAGTCCACAAATGCATAGACTAGGCAGCTATAATTAAACTTACCAGCCCTAAGTCGACTCCCATCTATCTGAATGAAATGATGACTTGCCAGACCTGGATGAACTTATCCTTTAACAATGTTCATTTATCCTGATTTTGATCCGGACTGACAATTTATTCAGCTGGTAGAAATATTTATGAGGCATTTTGTATGTAGTCCATTTATCTCGGACTGTGTAAGGTGGTGTATACTCGTGTCTCCTTTGTCACTACCAGTATGGATACCGTACGCTGTATACCGTACACTGTATTGTTTGTACTTTATGATGTTTTTTTAAAAAACATTTTCCATCTGTTAGAAAAAAAAAGTTACTGGCCCCAATACAGCATTTGTAAAAGCCCTCAGTTAAGACTCTTTCAGCACATTAACTTCTGCAACCCATTTTGTATAGTGATTGGCCTAATCCCAAATCTCCAGAATGGGCCTCATTTTGGTACACATGCAAGGTACCATTTGTGTCAAATGCTGGTCTGAAGAGCATCAGTGCTAGAAATGCCTCTTTTGTATGCTCTTTGACAGAGAATGCTTCTTTGGGAAACTCCTGGACAACAAGATGGCCATCAGGGGGAAAGAGTACCCTTTCATTTTGCTAAGCAATTAGTATTCTGGCCACAGAAATGAATTAACGCCCAAGCGCTTGATGTCTGTAAGCACACCAAAAATATTAGACACTTTTACAAGTATCAGGCGTTTTTTCTGCAAAAATACTGCTGCCAGGAGAAAAAGCTTCTAGGAGAGTTTTAAAAATGTCCTGTCTGCATGAGACCTTATAGTGCATTGAAGAAACTTAGGCTACAATCTGCGAAGACAAAGCACATGCAAACACCTGACAATGCCTGTTAACCTGAAGGGAAATGAGATTTCCATACCATATTCACTTCACATGTTTATTTTAGGTACATGCATGCTAAGTGGTGTGACAGTATAAACCTTTCAGTTATTTATTACCTATCAGAGATACCGAAGTATTCCTCTCAACAATGCTTTTAACCAGTCTTCTTGAGGTGATTGTAGCCGTATTAGTGCATTTGCGACAGAAACAATTGAGTACTGTCCGTGATACTTTTTTTATTTGCACTAACATACAATTTTGAGGACAAGCTTTCGGGGTATGTCCACTTGTTCAAAGTCCAAGCGGATAAAGGGGGAGCAGTTGTGATGGATACAAACAAATACATACAAGAAGGCCAGAGGCAGCTGGGCAATGCCATTTACTACAAAAAACTGGATTATGATCCGACCCAGGTCTTTGCAAAGCAATTAAAAGGTCTCATTACACTTCCAGGCCACCTACATTCAGAACTAGTCTCCTCAAATGGTCAGCCATATTTTTTGGTAGGCATCAGATAAGATCTGTCCTATGTGGTAACCAGGGATTTTTTTCTCAGACAATAGGTGCTGGAACTCTCCCTTACTAAGTCACCCCCTGTCTTCGCCCCCTACCCACCTCCTGAGCACGTTCCTTGATTCCACCCTCTCCCAGTACCACCCTTTTTAGAGAATACGGAAATAAGTATAATTTTATAGTGCTAAGTAACTTGTATGGAATTTGTTAATGATAACAAGAAAAGCAGTAAAATAGACCCCCCTCCAGCAACAATAGATCTCCCCCAACAACAACGGATGTCCCCTCAGCCAGCATTAATAGACCCTCCAGCAATCAGCACCCATCTCTCAACAGTAGATCCATAACATCTACTAGTAACAGAGAGAGCCTCTAAATTTTCTCTGAAGCCCTATTGCGCTTCAGAGGCTACTGACGGACAGTGAGGAAACAATGTCATGCCTCCTCAACGCCTGTTTGCATCAGTGTTTGGGGCACTTCCCTATTTGCTTGACTATGTAGCGCTACATACTTGTTACTACATGTCAGGTGCATTTTGCCGTGGACGTGAAGCATTGCATGAACACCCCTGTCCGCTGCCTATAGCAGCTTAAGGGGAAGAAGTGGTTGGCGGACAGCAAAAACATGGCTCAAAAAAAAAAAAAACGCGCCTGAATGAAGCTTTACACTCTTGCTGTATTGCTATGTCAGGAATATTCTTCTGCAGACATGTAACTTGACTAACAGATCTGCTTTAAAAGTTTCGGTACAACACAGACATCTTCCAGCACTGCTTTCACACGCTAAAGAAAAATCTTTCCAGTATCCGCTACAATTTTAAACTAATTTCACGAAACTCTTCACTTTCATGAAATTATTCTTTGTTGTCCTTGTTAGGGGGTTTGCTGGGTAGTTGTACTCCCTTAACAATTTTATTTATCACTAAAAGTTATAACTTAAATATGCTTTTTATCCTTTGTTTGTGAGAGATACTGGGGTAAGATTGGCCTCTATTAACGTGTTGAACATGCATTATGTTTTGTTCTGCTTCACAGACAGACAATCACACTGACAATTCATTTAGTTGTCTCCTCACTGCTTCTGATCCCTTTCGTTTAATATCTGAGCCATGGAACAGATGTAGGCAATTTCATTGTCTCCTTTGACAGGTTATTGTGCAATGGAGTGTGCACTATACCTGAGACTAAATCTTGTCAAATAGGATAGTTTAGTCTTTTACAACAACTTTGATTACATGTATAACAGTAATGGGCAATTTTCAGAGGCAAGAAATCCCTGGAGGGCACCTTTCTCGCATTATAATGCTCTAATTGGCTTATTTGTGGATGATGTCATGAACTGCAAACCAAGGCATTCAGGGACAACCAACTTTTTTCCCCCCCCCCTTTATGGTTAACAATAAGCTTGCTTTAATTATTAAAGCGGACCTGTTATATTCATACAACACCAAATAAAAAATATAAAATCGTTTAACAATTTGCTCTTATTCTCAGAGATAGTTTTCTCAATAATGTTCTATGGAAGGGCACAGGACTGTTTGTAGACTCAACTCTTCTCTGTAAATTGCCTTGATGGATGATTGGTTGTTAAGGAAGGTACTGCCATGATTACCTATTACGTTCTGAGTGTGCCTGTGGGAGCACCTATCCAGTTCCAGCAGGAAGGTACAGCCATGATTACCTATTACGTTCTGAGTGTGCCTATGGGAGCACCTATCCAGTTCCAGTGAAGGGTGACACTTCAAGCAGTCCTATGCTTTTTAAATTGGAACTTCACTCTCAGTCAGCCTTGACTATTTTGAACCCTTATGCTGCTAGCATTGGTAAATACATAGAAAAGTATATACTTGTGTTTTAATATTTTTTTTACATTTCTTTAGTTAACTCCTGATTTCCAGACCTAGGCAAATGATGTCATACATGCTGGCAGTCTTCAGGAGGGGAGTAGGGCTTTTCTCAGCTGAGCACACTCTCCTGCCTGTATGCCTTAGCTAAGGGCAGGTGGATTCCAGGAAGTAAATGCTACATGAATCATCTGCCCTTACTCAAAATGGCCATGGACAGAAATGTAAGGGTTCTTTTTCAAAGTAAATTCTCAGCAAAATAAAGCATGGATACATGGATGGTTGGGAGAGTTTGCTTTGAATATTAAATATGAGTTAAATATTTTTTTTGGTGCTCAGATGAAGTGTAATTCCAATTTAAAGAGGAGCTCCAGTCTTCTGTGTAAAAATTAAAAATCAGCAGCTACAAAAACTGTAGCTTCTAACTTTTAATAAACAGCCACCCACCTGTCCTGCAATCCAGCACTTTGCTCACCCCATCCATTTTCATTTAACATCTTCTTTCCCCAAGCCAGCATCTTCAGTGTAGGCACCAGGCTGTGACAGCTTGCCACCTCACAGCCGGGTGCCCACTGCGCATAAGTGGGCCGTGCTGAGCATTGTGAATGATCCCGCAGTCTTCTGGGACCTGTCACATGGTCCAGAAGACTGTGTGAAGGATGGGGGGAGTAGGACTTCTACTCCAATCACCTAGGTTTGTGGAGCAGAAGTGCTATTTCATAAACAGGAGTGGGGGAGGAGGCCTTAAATCAAAACTCTCCCTTTTGGATTTATTTATTTCAGGTACTTATATAGCACTGTCAATTTATGCATATATATATATATATATATATATATTGTACATTCACATCGGTCCCTAACCCTCAAGGGGTGTACAATCTAAGGTCCTTAACTTACATTCACGCATACACATACTATGGACAATTTAGACAGGATCCAATTAACCTACCTGCATGTTTTTGTAGTGTGGGAGGAAAGCGGAGTACCCGGAGGAAACCCAAGCAGGCACAGGGAGAACATGCAAACTCCAGGCAGGTGGTGCCGTGGTTGGGATTCGAACAAACAACCCTAGTACTGCCAGGCGGAAGTGCTAACCATTAAGCCACTGACTGTGCCGCCCTATGAAGCTCTACCTTACATTGGGACCTCCCTTCCCGTGGTTGAAAAGTAACCTAAACATTAACAAAAAACCTGTAGAGGGGGAAAAAAGTTTATGTACTTGTCTCTCCTTAAACCTCTGCTCCAGGGGGTGACGTCATCTTTTTGCCAGCGAGATCCAAACCAATGGTGAGTGCTCCAGATCTCGTGAGAATACACTGCAGTACAGTGCTGAACTTTCCTTCAGCTTTGATAACTAATTTTTCTAATTTTTTTTTAATGCATTTTTCTAGCAATTGCAGAAATTTTCCATGCTATAGGCTCTGTTTGGGTATTAGGTCTTGACATGGCACTTAAGCATCAGGTTGAAATGGTTGAATTCTAGAGATAACAGCCATGTATCTCAAGTGTAAGAATAGGCAATTACTACATTTGACTATATGTACATTGCACATTCTCACTACAGAATATGTGTACTAAGCATTGATTTGTTTGCTTTTAATTTACAGTCTTATCTTCCTGAAACCCAATTTGGAGGGCTTGGATTTCTTTGAGCTCATGTGGATAGTTGGCATCTCGGACTTTGTTCTGAAATACATAACGGTATCCTTAAAGTGTCTGATCCTCGCTCTTCCTAGGATTGTCATAGCGGTGAAATCCAAGGTAAATGTAGAGCCTAATAATATGTTTTGTGTACATGACTCCAGTTCATAAATGAGCCATATGCCATTTATATGTGCTGTTTGTCAGGGCCAGTAGTTATTAGTCTGTTAATGCTGAAGAATGTTTGGTAACCTTTTTCCTAAATATGCTCCTCGGCACAACTCCCCGTACTCGGGACGTTAATCTGCATTCCATTTTGGAAGCTAAAAGTGTTTGGCACTGTCCTAGCTGTGAGATTGTCATTGACAGCCCCGTTTCCCAACTAGCAGTTTGGGACCAGTCAGCATGCTTCCTGATCATGTGATCACCATATCCAATATGATCACAGGGCTTTGTTAGTAAACAGATGTTTGTGACAACTGCTAGTGTATTTCTTTTCTCTGTGAACTGTTTAGATTTCAGCTTGTGTGGGTGCCTTAACTGTTTTACTATCTGAGATTTTTTTTTCCCCCCCCCCTTTCATTTTTGCACATGTTAGAATGTACATTTTAGGCCTGAAGGTTTTTTCTGAACGCAGAGACTTTGTGAAATACTGTATTTTTTTCTCAGTAAAATATACCCTCAGATTAATTTTAGTGCACACAAACACAGTATAATGCTCAATTTGTTAAAATATAAACAAAAGTTTGCATCAAGTACACATATGTCAGGTCCCAAAAGTTGGCAAGCCTGTGAAACATTGAAAAACTATCATATGAAAATTGTCCATTAGCAATACTTTAGAAACTTGAACGGGTTATCATTTTAGAGTAAACTGCAAATGGAGGCGCTATAATTGCTTTCACTCCATCATTTGCGATGATCCTTAGTCTTTGTGACAAAGTTATCATTTTTCATGTGCATGCACACCCAACACATGCATTTACACATATATGTATGTGACAATGGATACTTTACTTTCTTTTTTTAACTTTTTTTACTTTATTGCTGTCACAAGGTAGCTCACAAGCCCCCTATGTGATAGTAGAGTGCAGGGTATGGGTTCTCTTTAAGGAAGTTTCAGGGGTATATTAGACCCCTAATGTCACCTTTTCACTATGTTGAAGCTGATCAAGCACCAGTTGCGCTCGTTCAGCTCCTTCGCTGACCAGAGCAGACCTCCTCTCTGGGAGATTTGAACTCATAAACACTCTGAACACATCCAGGTTCAAAGCTGTGAAACCCAATCCACTCTGGCTAGGTAGGCAGCTGACCGGGCACAGTCAGTAATCCACCAGCTTCAATATAATGCAGAGGTGATGTTAGGAGTCTAATATACCCCTGATTTCTCCTTAAAGAGAAACTGTTCCCTTCCCTCTGCAATCACATAGGGGGCAAAATGTTTTGCTGATCCAGGTGTGGCCAGGTAAGCCCTGGACACACGACGGGGAAGGAGGGGGGATGCAGCACCTTCACACTCATGTTGAAGTTACTTCTTCTCAAGAAACCCAGCAGCCTGCAAACACGTGTAAACATCCAACTGTTATAGTCCTTAAAGCGGTATTAAACACCAAAACAGAAATGTATTAGATTGCAGCCTACTACTTCTTACTTTGCTTTTCATTTTATGGCTTTTTTCCCCTTTATTTTCACATGTTATCTGGCCACTAAGTTTGTTATTTTTCAACTTTCTTTAGCAGACCAAGCTGTCCAGGAAAAGTGGATGTTAGGGGGTTGAGACAAACTATCAACACTGGCAGGGCTGCTTACAACAATCAGCTTTTATTAATTTATGTAAAATCTTTATCCCAAAAGGAAAACAAAACTGTTGCAGTAACTGCTTAAACGTGATCATTGGAATTTGGCAATTATTTGTTAGGCAATTCCATCTAAATCTGTTCATTTAACACTACCCCCCCACAAACCCAGATTGGCAATGCTGTTGTCAAGAGGTGTCTCCGTTGCTTTTCCATCCAGAGTGGGGACACCCTAGAGAGAGGAAGTGTGTTACAGGCTGGATCACCATATGACTATAAAGGAAAAAAAGCCTTACATAAGAAAACTAATGCAGCCACCACATTTAAGGATTGGTAAGCTGCAATATATAACCTTTTTGGTTTGGGGTTTAACATTGTTTTAGGCGATAGTTTACAAATTACAGTAATGTTTGGAACTAAAGGTCACGATATGTTGTCTTTTAACTCTCAAAATGCTGAACCACTGTGCCACTGTATGTATTGAACAGCCCAGTAAGACTTGACACTGCCTGCCAAATGCAACAGGGAGTTTAATTTTTGCCAAGATATGTGTGCAGCTCAGAGGGCTGTCCTTGTACAGGTGGGCAGTCAGGGAGGAGAACTAGTAAAGTTATGAACTTTTTATAAACTATATTATGTTCTCAAACTGTAAGTTACCATGAGGTCATGAAAGGCAGAGGCTAGAATCTTTCCTTTCTGGTATTCAGGAAGTGGGAGCAGGCGTCCATTCACTTATTCCAGAAGTGTTGCATGTGTGGTGTTAGATGCCTCCTTTGGTGTGAGACGTCTTTTTGGGGCAGTTCAATACATATAGCAGCACAGTGGTTCAGTATTTTGAGAGTTAAAAATCAATATATCATGAGGAGGCAATGTTTTGCCTCCCAGCCATCTGTCAACCGCAAAGACTGCCGCACGTCTGAATGCGCAATTACAATTTATGTTGGGATTTGTGGATTGCACAGATTATTGTGTAAATTGAACAGAATTTTGGACTTTAGCACAGCTGCAGTGTTTTCTCAAGAACTGTATTAGCTTGCTGATTGCTTTGCTCCTTTGTTGCCTTATATTGTTTCATTTATGGCATTGCTTCTGTTTATTTTCTTCTTAAATGTAACTGTTGTGAAAAGAGTGAGTATGTTGTATTTGATATCTCAAGCTGTTGTACTTTGCATTATTTTATGCTTCCTAAAAGAACTAGAAGTTGTAAGTAGGACTAGCCCCAGTGAAATTGGCTGATTATCGATTTTGATTGGTTGGGTATTCCCAGCTTATCATTGGCAGAGAAGTGCCACTGGCAGATCAATTAACTTTGGCTCACAAGTAATACAATGCAAGCAGCTCTTCATTTGTCCCTGGCCCTGCTCCAAACTATGCCCCCCCTTCCTTTCTCCTTCTATTTAGCATCTTTTTTTTTTTGTTTATGAACAAAATTAATATGCTGTAGCTGAACAGACAGAAATGATCTCTCCTGAGATAAATTGCTTCATCGGAAAAGGTTGAGAGTTGCTACACAACCCCCCTCCACCAGTTCTACCTACAAATGGGAGCAGTCATTAATCCTTGTCAACTTGCTTGTGGATGATAGGAAAAAAAGGCACCCCAGATTCCCACCAAGGCTTTGTCTCGCATGACAGATTTGTCTTTTTAAGATGAAATCTGTGCGGGACTGAGCCACTACGATGGGAGGTAATATTAACTCTCAGCAGTTCAGTATTCTTTGATGGATTTCTTGAGGCTGCATTAGGCAGCAGTGTTTTTGGAAATCTTTGTATACTCACAGTAGATAAATAACCTTCTTGTAAACTCAGATTTGAACATATGCACGTCTCTTGAGCTGTGGAGCCAGCTGCTACAGTTGCGCTCAATAGTGTACAAGACATCACACGGATATATCATCTCTGGAGGTACTGTAGACTGTACGTGATTGATAATTGCAAGTATGTCAGCATCATGTGATGAATGTCTGTCAGTGGGACTAATAGAACTTCAGAGGGTACCCAGGACTACTCAGAAAAATAATCTTCTAAACCCAACCTAGCCAATCTTCCCCTCACGACATGGGCATGCATGCTTATATGATTAACTAGGGTCTAAGTGTTGTATTGTCCAAAAATAAGAATAGAACACTACATAATATTATTTTACACATGAGACTTTATATGAGGCACATCACTGAGTAAACAATTCTAAACATAACAATTCTAACATGTACAGGGGGGAAAATAAGTATTAAACACGTCACCATTTTTCTCAGTAAATATATTTCTAAAGGCGCTATTGACATAAACTTTTCACCACATTGGTAACAACCCATGCAATCCATACATACAAAGTAACCAAAACAAATCCGTTCAGAAATTAAGTTACGTGCAATAAAATGGAATGGCACAGGGAAAAAGTATTGAATACATGAAGAAAAGGAGGTGCAAAAAGGCATGGAAAGCCAAGACACCAGCTGAAATCTATCAGTAAGTAGAAAGCAATCTTGCCCCTTGTCAAAGCAAATAAATATCAGCTGGTTCAGTCTCAACTGGTGGTCTATAAAAAGATGCCTTATTAGCAAGGTATCACACAAGAAACATCTCATGATGAGTAAAAGCAAAGAGCTCTCTCAACGCCTTTGCAACCTTATTGTTGCAAAAACATACTGATGGCATTGGTTACAGAAGGATTTCTAAACTTCTGAATGTTCCAGTGAGCACTGTTGGGGCCATAATCCGGAAGCAGAAAGAACATCACTTCACCATAAACTGGCCACGACAAGGTGCCCCAACAAGATTTTTGACAAAGGAGTGAAAAGAATTATGAGAAGAGTTGTCCAAGAGCTAAGGACCACTTGTGGAGAGCTTAAGAAAGTTCTGGAATTAGCAGGTACAATTGTTTCAAAGAAAACAATTGTACCTGCAATTATTTGCAAAAAAGTAATGCACTCAACCGCCACGCCCTGTATGCATGCTCACCACGCAAGACTCCATTGCTGAAGAAAAAGCATGTTGAAGTTCATTTAAAGTTTGCTGCACAACATTTAGACAAGCCTGTGAAATACTGGGAGAATATAGTCTGGTCAGATGACCCCAAAATTGAACTCTTTGAATGCCATAATACACACCATGTTTGGAGGTCAAATGGCACTGCACATCACCCCAAAAACACCATACCAACAGTAAAGTTTTGGAGGTGGGAACATCATGGCGTGGGGCTGTTTTTCAGCACACGGTACTGGAAAACTTCCTGTCATTGAAGTAAGGATGAATGGAAAAATGTACCAAGAAATTCTTGATAAAAAATCTGCTGCTATCTACCAGGATGATGAAGATGAAACGATGGTGGACATTTCAGCAAGACAATGATCCCAAACACAAAGCCGAGTAAACT